TTAATAGGCGTTCCCTCTCGGTAGCGGGTACAGGGTTGTGCATGTGCAATTTTTTTTTTCAATTCACGAAAATCCTCCACTATACCTTTAAGTTTTGAACTCTGTACAAGAGGAGCAGCTGATCAGCTAACAACAAGCAGGAGGGAATGGGTGAAGGAGCTCAGGCAGGTAAGGTGGGGCAAGATCATGTAAACTTTGAAAAACAAATAGAAGAATCTTAAAATGAACTCTGACTGATGTAGAGAGCATTACAGTAATCAAGTTGAGTTTGAATTAAGATCTCAATTGCTGTTTGAAAGTGTTTTAACAGAATGGGCTTTATCTCTACAAGCTGTCTAAGGTGATAAAAACTGGAATTTTCCACTGCTCCAACCTGGCAATGTGGTTTATGAGCACTGTCTATTTCAAAACCAAATTAGAAATAATCTGCTTCAAGCAAGACGTGAAAATGCCCCCCCTCCCCAGAAAAAAAAGAGATGGTTCATGGGAAATGCTTGGGCAAAATACAATCATCTCTGTTTTCTTGCCATTGCAATAATAAGGGCTGAAAATTTTTCTTTTTTTTAGCGGCGTGTATATGTGAGTGTGATCTGCATAACAATGAAAGTAGATACAGAGTTTTCTGAATATTGAAGCCAGAGGAAGAAAAAAGAGAAAGGAATAAAAACAGGCAGCCAAGGATTGAGCCCTGTGGAACTTCATGATGTAGAGGAGTGGATGAAGAGTCCAAATAGAGATACGGTTCTGTCTGATAAATAAGACCTAAACCTTTCAATGCAAAACCACAAAAACCAGGTTGAGTTTGTGAACTTGATAATAAGAATGTTGTGGTCTACAGAAAGACGCTGTAATGTGATGAGTTTTAAAACCAGAATGAAAAACCTCCGTGACCTATTGCTTATCTGAAGTGAGGGAGTGGCGGCCTAAAGGTTAAGGCAGAGAGCTTGGAATACTGAGGTTCTGGGTTTTAGCCCCACTCCCACTGACTGCCACTCTGGGTCCCTGAGTAAGACCCTTAAACCCTGATTGCTCCCTGGGTGCCCCACGATGGCAGCCCCCTGCTCCCCAAGGGGATTTCAAAAAAGTCTGGGAATGGATCATTTCCTAAAAAACTTAAGTAATAAAAGGCAGCTAGTAAATAGACCAGACGTTTGCTTAGATAGTTTGGTCAAGGCCAGGCGTCCTTCATTTCTTAATAATATAACAATTATGAAAATTACTCATACTACTGATTGATTTAGATTCAAAACTATCTTAACTCAATCAAGAAGGTTGCTTAAGATTTGGAAAAACATAAACATATGAATGAGAGACGTATTATTAAGAATATCTTAGCCGAAAGGTGGTATTTTAAAAAAAAAAGAAAAGAAAAAACTTGCTTACAGTCTGCTTAAAATTTTGTGGGATTTATAGAAAAATGACGTGAATAAAAGGTAAGGCTCTGGAGCACAACCCTAGCAAGAGAACAGATGCTATCCGTATTTAATACGAGCAAAGAAACAATAGTTTAAGGAGAAAAAAAAAGGTTACAATTTTAAGAGTAAAATCCTACCTGACCAGTCTGTGCACTGACAGCGTGCAGCGATCCCCGTCCCGTAGCAACCACAATCAGCCGTTTGTCTGGACTCAGGACCACACAGGTGGGTTCAGAGGAGAAGGTTGACACCAGCTCACTGGGGTCAAACACAGAAGCAGGTTTTAAAATGCCACACAAACCAAATTATAGCATGAAATATAAAAAATGGCAACCGTGTTGACGATAATGTTTACCTCCCTTCTTCAGCATAATCTTTGCTGCTGTTTAGGCACTCGATCACACAGACTCCTGCTTTTCCTACCAGGCCTTTAGCCCAGATGTGAGCTGATGTTTCTGGAGGTTCGTTGAGCGCCTGCTGGATAAATAGAGCCGGCCACAGGGAGAGCGTGGAGGTGTGGCGCTTCAGGAAACATCGACAGTCGTCCAGGCGTCCCTCTGGGTCGACTGACAGGATGAACAATAGAATGAGGTCTTTTCCAAACGTTTAGATCAGGATTCCCTGACCAGCAGGAACATTGCATCCCTTGAATAAATTATCTATAGAGGTAATTTTCAAAGTACTTACGTAAAGCTGTAGTAGTTGACTCCTTATCTAAAGAGAGGGTAACATTTGACAGAAAAGATTAATTATCCATCAATGATCAAAGAAAAACGAGCCTGAATTTGTATTCATTATTTATCAAACATCAGGGTTTCCTCTAGGATTTTTAAACCTTTGTGGTGTCCGGTGAGGTTACATGAAATTTGTACTATTTAAAACTAAATGTTTATTGAACGTATTCCCCCTTTATAGGACACTGTGAAATACTTAGAAAATCAAAATTTCCAGCCAATAGTGTTATTGGAACACAGGATAAAACCTTATTACCTTTGTAACATTAAAAAAATAGGGATATTTTGATGGCAGAAATGAATGTTAATATAATAAGAAATGCCAACTTGCCTGTTGTTATTTTTGTTATTTTCTTAATATATTAAGAAAATAACAAAAGTGCTTCTATAAGAAATTCATGAAAAACATTCAGTAAAATAAACACATTCTTTTTTGGTCCATCATAACCTGACACTGGCACTTAATTTTTTTAGTTGATAAACCTAAATAAAATTAACCATGCTTATTAACTATTAAATTTTTCAATTAGCTTTTTACCTTTTTTTTTCTTGATCAGTTAATTTTTCTTTCTTAATTTCCAGTAGGTAATATATCATTCAAGGGCTCCTCTAATTGGTCAAATGCCAAAATAAGATGTACAGCCATGTAGCAAGATCTTTGCTGAATGACTGGATCTAGATCTTGTGCTTCTAGACCTCACTGAAGGGCGGGAAGCACTCAATTTGTAAGGGCTAGGCAAGTGATCAAAAACAGTAACTTGCCTTATAAAAGGTTATTCTAATGGCACAGTTTGCAGCCTCACTGAGAGCTTCTTAAAAATCTAGTTTCAATTCAATTCAATTCTGTTTATTTATATCACAACAATTCACAGAACGTCATCTCTGTCACTTTAAAGAGACAATACAGTCAAACTGGTTAAAATTTTCTGGTATAGAAAACCACATGACTATTGAGTTATTATTGACTTGTGAGACATACTCCTCCTGGATGAGCTTGCAGCATCAATTTTCGCCTGCATTTGGTTGTTGACCCTTCTGCAATCCCTCACACAGAGCATTCCTGAAACTCCCTTTTAACAGGAAGAAACCTCCAGCAGAACCAGGCTCAGTGTGAGCGGCTTCTGCTGAGGTCGACTGGGATGCAAGGAGACAGAAACAGACACACACAAAAAAGGAAACTGCTATCCAGCTCCAGAGGCGGCCCCATCCAGGAAACAAAGCCAGGCAGACAAGCTCTAAACCAGCTCCCATGTCAGAGGATGAAAGAGAGCACATCCAGCCAGTTACAGTCAGAGAAACAGGACTACACTGAAAAACAGACCAAGTGCCAACATCTATAAACAAAGGTGTTGATGGCAGCAGCACAGCTGATATTTTAATCCAGGATGATGTCATAGCCAAACCGGAACAGACCAGATGAAGCTACTATGAGAAAAAGTACAGAGAATGTAAGGTTATGGGTGGAACATAAATACTGCAGAATTAGAGTAAAGAAAGAATAAAGCAGAATGATAAAAATTGGTCCCATGTTCTCCTGCAGTCTAAGCCTATAGCAGCATAACTCAGGATAACGTAACTGTTTCGGATGAGGTAGAGACAAAGCGAAATATCGAAGGATAAATGTAGGAGCGAGGAATCTCAATATGGGCAGGACAGAAGGTGATTAAAAATCGTATTCAACACAAATGGCAAACTGAAAACAACACAATGCACGAGAAAGTAGAAAACACAACAATTTCCAATTTTATCAAAGCCTCTTCATGCCGTTGGAGAGCGACAGTCATTTCCTTCCTGGAGTTTTTCAACAATCTGTTTATAGTGTTGATATTTATGAGCCAAGTCATGGGTTGTCTCTACATGTTTACATTTATGAACCCGCGCCAGCAGGATCTGCTGCCTGCTCGCCATGTTTTCCATGCAGTTCCATCCATCTAGTGCATAATTTTCCTAGGTGGAAGGCCAAAATAACCTTGCAGACTCATCAAGCATAAAGTTTAACGTGGAAGCAGAAGAAAGTCGGTCTCCTCTCTGCTCTTACTGCAGGTAGGGTTTGCTGCATGACGAGGCTGCTGAGACTGACCCTCTGTTAGTTCTTTACACTAAAATATTATTACCTAACATATTTAATTAAATAGTAAAATTGTAAAGTTATAATGTTAAAAAACTTTATCCTGAAGGTTTGGGAACTTTTATATTGCCTTGTTATGCCCCACTAATGATTACATGTAGAGGAAACCCTGAACACCTTATGAATGCTCACCATAAAGGTCATATGTCTCTAGAAGGTGGTGAAGGAGGCCGAGGCTCACATTGGCACGCAGGAAATAATAATTGGAGAGCAGGGAGTGAAGAGCCCCCAGCTGTCCGCTTTGAATCTGTCCAAGCAAAGGCAACAAGGGAATAAAAATCTACACTCAGGTTCATCTCTTACCTTTAGTTTCTGCTGAACAGGAACCAATAAAATATCTTTGCAATAATTTTCAGCCTCAATAGGCTCAAGCATTGCATATAAGTAAATGTTTTTGGTGTAATATTTAAAAAATTGCAAACCAAGCTTGAAGGCAGATGCATGACCGAGTTTGCCTCAGAGCGAAGGAAGGTATGTTTTCCCTCCGGGTCAGCCATCGCCCACAGATGACCTGGTTAATTAGAAACATCACAGCATATTTAGAGTCAGTGAGGTGCTTTAATGGAAGAGCAAAGTGTTTGCATTACCTGCCAGCACGAGGTGAGCTCTGGCTATGTCATGTTCTGTTAGGAGGAGGAAGTTCTCAAAGCCTCTCTTCACCTCTGGGTTGTTCAGAGCCAAAACATCGTTGGTGTATTGGCAATGAGACAGACCGGTCAGACTGAAAGAAAAGACGCAAACTACCGGTAATTAAAATCTTAACTGTCTTTCATAGTTTGTAAATCATCCTTTTTAATATTGTATGAACATTTTGTGAACTATGTAATAAAAAAAAGTTAATTACAGAAGGTCAAGGTGTTAAAATAAAAACATTGCGACTCAAAGATACCAGTCTTTTCTTATATCTCTAATAGTGACCATAGTAGAGTATATTTCAACTCCTATACCACCATCATGAATGTGTTTCTGACAGTTTTGGCTGTTTTTCCATTAATCCTCTCACTGTTTATGTGGCCACCTTTAGGTCAGTAACATTTATCTATGAGGATTAGGGCTGAAACAATTAATTGGATCAATCCTGATTAATCGATTAATCATCAACTAAGTTAGTAATTGATTTATAATTTAACTGGTGTACAGAGACAGATACCAACATTGAAAAAAATAAATAAATAGAAACATTGTGTATTTAACATAAAAAAAAAAATATAAATAAATTGAAAAAACTTCTTTGTCCATTAATATATTCTATCCAGGATGCCAGAGGTGGAAATATTTTAGTTTCACCTGTTTTATTTGTGTAAAAAATCTTCTATAAGGAACATTTTGCTCTCCAATTATTAATCAATTAATCAAACAAATAATCCTCAGATTAATCAATTAGCAAAACAAATGTTAGTTGCAGCCCTAAAACAAAATAAAACTGATTAATCAAACAGAATCCTAATCTGTCTGATCTTTCTTAAAGAGGAAAAAAAATTGTGCACCCAAGTGAACGTGGAGGTCATCAGTTACTGACTAGGAAATGGGAAAATTGCCATCTCCTCAAAATAAAATACATCATTGATTTTGTTAAAAATAACCGACTATAACATTGAAATTAAATGTTAGACACTTCTAATATTTCCAAACTGTACTTATTCCGCTCCTAATAAAGTATTTTTTGTTGTTTTTAACCATGAATGACAGAGGATGAGCTTGTACCTTTGTAAATTCCTAACAACCTGAGTGAAAACTGCCATGGGAATACGTCCTTTTGGCTTCCTGGAGAGATGCAGCACTTCCTCCCATGTCATCTGCTCGCCCCGTGAAGACAGGTCATTACAGGTTCTCAGCAGAGAGTACAGTTCAGGCTCTGTTAAACCTGTAGATAAAGAAGCAAACACAGATGGAACGGTCTGAATCCTCTCTCAAAGTCAGGAATGATTGGTTAAAAGTAGTGTTGCGCCGATGCCCTTTTTTGGCCCCGATACCGATACCTGGCTGTGCAGTGTCGGCCGATACCGATACCATAATAATGTAAAATAATTGCCATCATGGCTTTGTCAAGCTGCTGCCTACCTTTGTGAAGCAGGAAAAAATCTAATACAAAGTGAATCCAGTAGAACTTTTTATTGCCTACCAGGAGTGGGTGACAATAGTTGAATAGACTTATGGATCTCAAAATGGTATCGTTGCCCTATTTGTTGGTACTCGCCGATACCGATACCACCATTTTAGGGCAGTATCGGGGCCCCGTCCGATACTGGTATCGGTATCGGTGCAACACTAGTTAAAAGTTTATAAAACATTACAGAACCGTAGTGACCTTAGATTTTGTTGTGGTTAAATCATGAATAAATAAACTATGGTAATGGTACAGAGTAAAAATAAAAAGGAAACTAGGACTTTAGACATTTGTAAATGATCCATTGTCCTTCACAGGTGAGGGTTTTCAGGTGGAGTGAGAGTCTGAGACTCGTCCAGAAAAAGACAGATGATGTCCTCTGGGTTGGTGGTCAATCTTTGCCTGAGGCAGTGGAATCCAATCATCTTGATTATTCACCAAGGGTTATATGTACAGTAATAGCAGGAAATGGGACAACAGACCAGAGTCTTGTTTGCAGTAATGTTGGTGCCGTTCTTTAGCAAATTACCTCGAATAAACTAAAAGTACATTAGTAGCCATTCAAAATTTCCACACTGTCCTTGATGGGCCCTTGACTGGTCCCACAGGCTTAACTTTCTGAAGGATTGGTAAGGACAGTCCCCACCAATAATTTCAATACATAGAATTTGGCTCTGAACAATATGTGGGACATTTTTCTAAATTTGATTTTGCCACTTTTGGAGGAGGATAATCACTGATGCAGCTGAAAGGGAAAACACCCATCAATCAATTCACATTTTTCTAGATGGATTGATGGAAGGATGAATGAAACTGAAATTGTGTCCATAATAGGAAGATATATTGCTGTTGGCATCACAATCAGATGTTATTCATCCTTTTTTTTTATACAATAATGTCTAACTACCCATAAATATAAATATCAGTGTATTTTTGTTCTTTTTTGTTCTAAACAATAGCAAAGCATTCAATAAATCTCTAACGTTCTGCTCTCTCCTTTTTCTCATATTAACTTTGCCTCTTCTTTTCCTTTTTGGCTGTGACTCCATCCTGGAGAGAAATCAGCTGTGCTGCTTCCATCAACACCTTTGTTTATAGATGCTGGAGATCGGCCTGTTTTCCAGTGTAGTCCTGTTTCTCTCACTGTGACTGGCTGGATGTGCTCTCTTCATCCTCTGACATGAGAGCTGGCTCGGTGCTTGTCTGCCTGGCTGTGTGTTTCCTGGACGGGGCCGCCTTTTACAGTTGCTTTTTGTATCTCTGCTTCTGTCTCCTTGAACCCCAGTTGGCCTCAGCAGATGGCCGCTCACACTGAGCCTGGTTCTGCTGGAGGTTCCTTTCTGTTAAAAGGGAGTTTTTCCTCTCCACTATCGCTACAAGCATGCTTAGTGTGAGGGATTGCTGAAGAGTCAATGAGTCGATGCAATCAACTGGTTTTCCTCAGATAGAAAACTTTGAATCAATTTGACTGGATGATGTGGTGAACTGTAAAGTGCCTTAAGATGACATATGTTGTGAAGTGGCGCTATATAAATAAACTGAATTGAATTGAAAACTGAGTCCCCTAGAATTCCTTTTTTAAACATCAATATTTGTACTAAATTATTTTTTCTGACATGATTTGAGGACATTAAGATCTAAAGAGAAGCATCATATTCTGGTCAGACACTGTAATTCAGTGAAAGGATGGAGTCAGAGTAAACAAATATGCAAGAGTCACTACAGTGGCTTGAAGTTGGAGGGGATTTTGCTGGGAGTTGGAGGGAAGTGGGCTGCCATTCGGCTGGCGTTTGACTGGGAAGGGCCATTTTGAATGGTGGCTACTGTAAAGGCGTCTGGAATATCCAACTGCCCCAGCATGACATTTACAACTGCAAATGAACAAGAAACCGTTAAATTCCTGCAGAACTTTACCAGTATTGCTGACAGTGAGGGCTGCAAGGGTCAAACGGAGCCCTGGTATGGTTCTGTACTGGATGCAGAGTCTCTCCAGGCTGTACTGGACCAGCAGGCTTAGAGACTGAGGTAAATCTTGCAGTGTTTCCTTCAGCTGAAATACAACAACACAGTTTGCTCCCATTATCCTTGGCAGCTGAGCAAGTTGGAAAAAAAAAATCTGCATATAAGTTCATACCTTTTCAAAGGAGGCAAAGTTCCTCAGGTCTTCACAGGCCAGGTGCAGATAGAGAGGACTCACCGCTCCTTTCTTTGTTATTAAAGTCTGGAGCTGCATTTACAGCACAATAGTTTTATAGTCAAAACACAAGTTCCAGTAATATGGAAAAAGATCGAAAATGTATAAACAGAACCTGATTGTTAAAAGCAGAATCGCTGAGCTTCTTCCCAAAAACGTCCAGCTCTTTCTGAACAATCTCTCTCTTGTCTGGCATACTGAGCTGCCCCAAAGAAAACAGGACCGTCCCTCTTTTCCTGACTAAAGTCTGCAGCAGAGGCGTATTGGAGGAGATGCTCAGAACTAAACAGACACCCTGAAGAGAAACAATAGAATTAATATATAAAGTTTAACAAAATCCTTTTTTTTTTATCTTCTTGTTACCAACTTGAGGAAGCAGCTGTGGGATCCAGTCAGAACTAAACTGTCCTTTGTCATCTTGGACAAGATCCACTCCATCAACCAGCACAACCAGAGGTTTGTCCTTCTTCATTTCTCCAAGGGTTGAGTGAAATTCTGACAGCAAATCCCTAATATTACAAATAAAAGTTAAAATAGCGAGGGATCAAAGCTGTTTTGTATTTTGTATTTGTTGGAGCCTCTTACTTATAGAGGTGAGGAAGAGGTGATTCTTCCTGTGTGTGTTTAATCTCTCTCAGGCACTGTACGAGGCATCGAAGAAGATTTCCCACAGAGCGCGCCGACTGGCTGGCAGCAGTGGAGTAAGAGATGACGTCACAGCAGAGTTTTGTTTTAGACTTCAGTCCACTGCGGATGGCTTCTGCTAGAGCAGCCTGACAGAAGCAAATGCATACAAGAATATAAAGAAAAGCACAAATCAAACTACATTTTCCTATAAAGCAATTCATTTTACCCCTTCTTGAACTGCATTCTAAACGTAGCACAAGATGTTTCAGTTCCTAAGATTATTCCAGAGGTAAAGTTTTCGGGGCTAAAATCCCAAAACAAAAAGGCTTTGCGTGATGAGTCTAACAATCAGTGGTCCAAGAAGTCCTAATGATGACAATAAAAATGAAGAAAAAAAAAAGGAAATCGAGGGGGGAGCTTGATGTCATCCGATACAGCGGAGCCAGGACCTCACACTGGAGCAAGGCCTGGGGTCGGACTTCATCTGCAAGCGCATGGTGGTCAGGTGCCTTTTCAGGGGACCCAGCTGGGGCAACCCCAAAGGAGTGATGGGGGGCCATCCTCAAATGGGCCTACCACTTGCAGGGGGAACCACGAGGTACCGGGCAAAGAGGATTGGGCACCAGTCAGAGGAGACCTGATCCACAATCAATTTGACAAACTCTGGCGAAATGGAATGTCAAATGAGTGTGTTTGTTTTCCCAAAGCTATTCTGTCTAGTGTCTGAGTGTACCTCTATTGGACAAGAGGTTTACATTCCATCACCTTCAGGTAGGGGGGCAGGTCTCTATCTATTGTCTCGGCCTGTTGACCAAACGGTAGTATAGAGCACCAGGCATTCTTAGCATTGTTAGGGGGGCTGTTAGATAGCCCCCCTATTGGATATTCCATAATTCTGCCGGGGTACTCCAATGCCACTGTGGAAAACAGGGTGATTGGGGCCGGAATTGTACATCACCCAGGCTGAAGTCTTCAAGGTGGTCAAAAACCTCCATGGAGGCAAGATTAGATAGACGAGATCTGCCCTGAGTACCTTATGTCTCCGGATGCTGTCCAGCTGCCATGGCAGAGATGCCTCTTCAACATCATGTGGTGTTCAGGGACAATGCAGCTGGACATGCACCTAGAGAAGGCATTGACCGTGTCCCTTGTGGTGCCTTGTGAGGGGGGTGCCCCAGCAGTAATGAGTGGAGACCCTTTACGGGGGCTGTCCGGTCACTGTACATGTAGAGTATGAGTTTGGTTCACAATGCCACCATTAAGTCAGAACTGTTCCCAGTGCATGCTGGACTCCGAATAAGGCTGCCCTCTATCACAGTTCTGTTCATAACCCATATGCACAGGATGTATTTACTGCAGCCAAGGACCCATAGCATGTCTGGTCTGGAGACCAGCAAATTTCGTTCCTGCTTTTTGCAGATGACAAGGTTCTGCTGGATCCCTCTTGACCAAGACCTATACCATGCACTGGGACGATTCGCAGCAAAGTGTGAAGAGTCCAGGAAGACAATCAGCTCCTCTAAATACTAGGCCATGGTTCTTGAGAGTCCCTGTCTCAAGCCGAGGTGTTTAAGTACCTGAGGATATTGTTCACGACCAATAGAATGAGATCCTTGATAGAAGTGGCTGAAATTAGCTTTCTCAATTTAGGTGGGCTCTCCCTTAGAGATAAGGTGAGAAGCTTGATCATTCAGGCGAGACTTGGAGTAGAGCCGCTTTTACATAGTGAGTAGAGTCAGCTGAAGTGTCTCAGACATATTTCTTGCAGCTCTGTCTCCTGGACAGAGCTAGAGGAGGTGTCTGGCAAGAGGGATGTATGGGAGTCTCCACTGAGACCGTTGCCCCGTGACTCGGTAAAGATGACAAGTACAAGTGTAAGTCATTTTATTGCAAAAGATCTTTGCTTTCTCCTGCTGATACAGGTGAGGCAATTTGCTACCTGTTGCCCCAGGAATGATCTCCATTCTAAGGAATGATAAGGCATTATAATTACTTTGGATATTTCCTGAGAAGAAGATTATGTTTAATGGGGAGTGTTGGCCTAGTGGGTCCGAGCAGCACACTTGTGATCTGAGAAGGTTGCAAGTAGCCTACCCTTTTCGATCACCACAGCCTCCACTCTGTGTTCCTGAGCAAAACACTTAACCCCACTTCTCCCTGGGTGCCACACAAGGGGATTGGTTAAATGCAGAGATGAGGGAGTGGCTGTGTTAGGGCATAGGGCTTGGAATTCTGAGGTTCTGAGGTCAAGCCCCACTTCAACAGACTGCTACTCTGGGTCCCTGAGCAAAAGACCCTTAACCCCCACACTGCTCCCCGGGCACCGCACAATGGCAGCCCACTGCTCCCCGGGCACCGCACAATGGCAGCCCACTGCTCCCCAAGGGGATGGGTATCCTGATATACAGAGTAAGAGCAGCTCAAGCATCCTCTGAATGACAGCACTCCTACCCCAACTATTAACACTTAGCTCAGCCTTCCTATACAGTAAGCTCATTTCTGCCACTTGTACAGTATCTAGCATTTTGAATCTTTGATCGTGATTTGTGATTGTGATATCATATAAGCATGCACACTAGTAAATCAAGACCCTTATTTTTCTTCTCATATTTTTCTCCATAACAGACTGGAGCAGCATCTGCACTGCTGCAGATGAGGCCACAATCGTCCACTGGATATGGACCAGTCTTTTTCTGGCTGAGACCATGACCTGGATTCCAGAGGAATCTTCACTTGTTCCGGTCATGGCATGCTGATATAAAAACCACATAATCCACAGAGAAAACAACAAAAGCAAAGGTTGGCTCGACAACACTGTCCATTATCACACCACAAACAGGACTGATGGCAAATTGCAGACCAGGTGGAGTCCAAACCTATACTGAGGGCGACAGGTTAACTTAGTCCATAGAACATGGACACTGCTCTTGCTTTTGCTAAACAGAGACTACACATCCTCAAAAAGCAGCTCCAGCAATCTTCATGCAGCATTAATCTTTGATGTATACTAGATAGTTTTGCCAGGTTACTTTAATAATCGTTTAATGGGATTTCATTTTTGCCCTATGGCTTCTGATGCCGTTTTGCCTTCCTAACAGTTTCTTTTACAGTAAATTAATTTTGATGCCTCTCATCTTTTTGTATAATGAGGTTAAAAACAGCGTGGAATTTAGTTCCAATCAATCCAAATTTATCATGCCCCAAGAAATAATTACAAAACATTTTCTTTGATATCTTATCGCATTACCATGCCTTTCTAAGCTGATTTCATGTTGCCACCATCTTTTTAATGCCATATATATTCAGTAGTAGCTGAAGACATAAATTTACCATGAAGACAGTTTTCCCCTCCCCAGGTCCTCCTTCGATCACCAGCATTCCTCCCTTGTTCTGAACCTGCTCCACCTTCCCCACAGCATTGGACAGTAGCTTTGCCCTTCCAAAGAACTGCTTCTGCAGCGCCCCCTGGAGGACCTCCTGCTCAGACACCTCCAAGGCCGTCTCTGCCTCTTCATCCTCCTGCAAGGCACCATAAAATAATAATAATAATAAATAAATTAAAAACATTAAATACACAAGGTGATTTTGAATTTTCTGTAAATTTAGCAATTAAAATGGCAAATGGTAAGTTAAATACATTTTCATAGTGCTATTCTAGGTGCACTAACCAGTTAATGTGCTTTCACACCAAAAGGAAAGTCACAATCATGCCGACCAAAAATAATGTACCTAGGAGACCTTAATCAATAGGATACTGGAACAGAACCCACAACCCCTCATTTGTAAGATGACTAACAGTCGCCCCACTGGTTTTTTATGGTCATTTACTTACATTCACAAACAGCTTTGTCACAGCCACCCAAAGGTCTTCGAGCACAGCGTTCCCAAAGTCCTCCAGCTTTTTCAGGTATGGTTTCCCCTCCACTACGCCTCCCCACATACATGAGTAACTGAAAGAGTGAAGAGGGGGAGTTCAGGACTTTAAATTTACTGTACTAATTCAGCTATTCACCAAACAAACAAGGATTTAGACAACTTTTACTGTCATTTTGTTTACAAAAAAAATTTCCTTTTGTACAGCTTTCATGAGATTTGCATTCCATAAAATGCAGCAGTGATCAAATGTAAATATTGTGGGAGAAAAAACCTTGTTGCAAAAAACACATTGATATGGAAGTTTGGAGCATTAAATATATAATGTGCAAATATGCAGTATTTTAGGCCAATAATTCCCTTTAACAACCGACCTTTCAGACACTTAGACAGGTATGGGGTATTGTAGGCTAACAAAAGAAGCCAAACGACCTCCATTCCAAAGGGGTGGACCCCTTCGTCCGTCTCAATTTGCATGTTTTCAAAACAAATGCAAGACTTTTGTTGGGCTACTGTATAAAACTTCAAACTCAACGCTATTCCTGACATTTTGAATTGAAAACGCTTCCTGGGTGGGAAGCGAAACATCTTCAAACTTGGAAATAAAGTCCACTGGATTGTTTTGTATTTTTTGTTTTTTTTGGAATGCAGTGCTTTGGTTTGGTGTTGTCAGTGCGATGCAGAGTCTGTGACATGATTTAGAGTCTGATGGCAGTGTGGAAGACGCTGTTTCAGAATCTGCTGGACCTGCATCAAATGCTGTGAAGCCTTTGATGGTGGGGGTGTGAGAGGTCATTGATGATGTAACGGGGTCAGGACACGCAGTGCTGGGATGAAAGCTCTTATTTCATCCCAGCGCTGCATGTCCCGAGATGCATGTTGGCATTTGTTTGTCTAAGTGTATGAGTATTAACTTCCTTCAAAACATAAATAAAAAAGTTTATTTATACATGCGTAACTGAAAGAGTGAAGAGTAAGGAATCCTTCAAATCCTAAGGATATTCCTGTGTTCTAGGGCTGCATCTAACAATTATTTAGCAAACCGATTAATCTATTGATTATTTTTTCCGATTAATCGATTTATAAGCAGATAGCCAAAGATTCTTTAAAGAAGACTTTTTACGAAATTAAACCAGGTGAAACTCAAACTTCTCCACTTGAGGAGTTCTGCATATAGAACATATGGACAAACATATTTTTTTATCATAAATAAATCAAGGTTTATATATTTTTACAATCTTGATATATTACTGCTCTAAGTAGGTTTCTCTGTCAGCTGAAATTACTCCAGTTAACAATCAATCGATAACAAAATTAGTTTACAATTATTTCAATCATCGATTAATCCGATTCAACCCTACTGTGTTCATTTAAAACTTAGCCTGTACACATAATTTCAGCAAAAAACCCCCCACAATTTACACTTTAAATGGTTTATAGGCATTAAATGGTTTTATAACGTTGATCATTTTATTAAAGACTGAGAATGAGACATTAAAAAAAAAAAAAAACTGCATCCATCAAGATAAATTTAAATAATATTTTTTCACTAGAAACTAAATAAATTTTTTTAAAGACGGAGAAAATGAACTGATTGCACAGATGGTTGTGTCCCTGTTTAATAGCCTAGTAAACTAGCCCCACCCGCCAGCGGCCAAAATCATTTTTGCCTGCGAGTGGTCTAGCCTCTATCAGTGCCCCAGGCCCTAGAACTGGCGGGCCAACACAATACAGAGATGTGTTTTGAATGTCTGGATGCAAAGCGGGCGGGGTTTTGTGGGTGGGACGACAAAGCTGCACAACGAGGAGAAAGCACAACAAGGAAGATGGCAAAAACTATTAAACAGTTCCCGTTTGACTCAGGTTTGGAATCAGTTTGGAAGGATTAAACTTGGGGTTTTCGTTGAAACGTGAGCAGGAAGAGGCTCTTTGCTCATTCATTTTTAGGAAGGACGTATTGGCCGTTTTACCGACAGGCTGTTTGTTTACACTTCCCCACCAGCAGTCAGTTGCGCTCATTGGTCAGAGCGTTGGCCAATAGGCACAGACTTGGTTTGAAAGGCAACAGGGTTGTTCTAATCAACAATCTTCCAATATCTCATTCATCGGGGCCAGACTAAATTACACATTTAGTCTTGATATATTGACCTAACCCTAACCCGTTTGACGGACACTTAGAAAATAAACCCTCATTTATTTGGTCCTTCAAACTTTTGTGTTTCATCATAAAACTGATGCAACGAGGTGCGTAAGCAGAGAAGAGAGAACATTAATCCCCTGTTCTGCAGACATGTGAGAACTCACTTTTCAGTGACTTTGACTCCATCATCCAAAAGTCGTCTCTTCAAAGAAGTCAGTTTCTTCTCGGCCTCATTTGATTCAGAAGCAAAATGTGATCTCCAAGCCACAGGGACTGATCTGAACAAAAAACAGGAAGGTAGAGCTGTTAAACAGGGAAACAACTTCAGCTCAAAGTTTTAGGTTTTCTGCTTACTTGATAACCACTGGATCTCTGAAGTAGCAGAACATCCGCTGGTTTGCCGAGTCGGGATAAAGAGCCTGGAACTGGCGGATCTCCATCTCTGTGATGGAGAGACCAGCTGGAGCAGAATCCAGCTGCATTTTCATATCATTATATGACATGGCTGTACATCTAATTTTGGCATTTGACCAAATACATGAGCCCTTGAATTATATATTTCCTACTGTCAATTAAATTGAAATTAAAAAGTTAAGTCAAGAAGAAAAGGGTAAACAGCTAACTGAAAAGTTAAAAAGTAAAGTTAATACTCCTAGTTAACAATTATATTTAGGTTTATAAACAAAAAAATGTCAGTGCCAGTATCAGCATTAATGCCTCTAAGGTTGTGTTGGACCAAGAAAACCTGTCTGTCACTCTCAGAGTGTTTTTATGAATTTCTTATAGAAGCACTTTGGTTATTGTTCTTAATATATTCGGACAAGTTGGCGTTTCTTGTTATTACATTGACATTCATTTTTGCAATCAACATATTTTTTTTTATGTTACAAAGGTAATCAGGTCTTGTCCTGTATTCCGATAACACTATTGGCTAAAAATTAGGATTTTCAAAGTATTTACTAAGTGGCCTATAAAGTCTTACCCAGCTGTACTGGGGCAGGTCTGGTAGGACAGGGCGGGGGGGCACCTGGCCGTACCTCTCCCCCAGGATCCCAACCAGCATCTGGCTGCGGCAAACCTCAGAAAGACACAGCTCCGTGGCCCTCTCCGACTCCTCCTCGGTCACGCCCCAGCGGAGCTCCACCTCCTGTAGGTGGAGGCAGTGGGCTGCGGCGCGGCGGCGGAGCTCAGGGAAGACGCTGCGCACCAAGACATCCCGTTCAGCGTGCATGTCTCTGAACGTGGAGGAGATGAACACTCGAACACCTCTCCATCTAGGAACAGCAGGAATGTTTGAATATTGGGCGAAAATTGTGAAGTTAAACCTTTTAGCACTAAATCCTTCCAGTCTTTTACCTCAGCTTCGGGATGGCTGGCAATGACATGGTGTTGTTGGAGATCTGCTTCTCTTTGGCTCCATCTGGTGGTGGGATGTTGTACAATTTGTCCAAATTCTCGACATGATCCAACAGCCGAGAAGATCCTCGCTCTGTTATAAATCTGAACAATTCAAACAGATGGATCCCGTTGGTTAAAACCCCACAGTGGGTTAGCATAGATCAGCAAAAAGATTTTAAATTCAGATGAAGTTATAACATTTAGCAAATGTATGGTGTGGTAAATTAAAGACGATACTAAACTGATTTTTAGAGGAATTTTACCAGGAACCAAAGATCTTTACTCAAAAAAGAACAGAAATCCTTCTTTGACTTTAGAAACTGGAAGATTTAACCAAATCCCAGAAGAAGAGAATGGAGTTTTTTTGTTTTCTGTAGCCCAACGTATGATGGTTTTTAACTTGTATTGATGGATGATATGCTTAGACAAATGCCTGATTTGTTTTGGATTACTATGATAAGGTGAAATTATTGCTTAATTATAATGTTTATAAGTTGGCCATATTTATTTGTAAAGCCCGGAAGAATCCGCAGAATTGTTTATTTGGATTCTGATTCAGAATCATATATCTGCAGAAAAACTGAAAATGGTCAAATCAAGTTTTCTCACCTTCTTCCAAACATTATTTCGTTAATTTATTAAATACAGAATGCCATTGGGTTGGGTTCAACATGTTTTTACGTGTGGTTTGGGAAGTTTGCTTTCAGATCTCCTGTTTGATCCATCTTACCTCAGGATTTGCTCACTGAAGCCTCTCAGCTCCACAGCATTCCTGTCTCGAGGCTTCTCCGATTCTCCAGATGACCTGAACAGAAAAGTTCAGGTTTAATTAAACCTAGAAAGTCTTATGACTATGAACCAATGCAGAGCGTTTTCTTTTTTTTACCCATCCACTAATACGAAATCAAAATAAAGGGTTTTTTTGTTTTCCTTTCTGTAGTTCTTGATAGCACATTCCAAGTCCTTTTCCAGCCAAGACTGTCTGAACGTGATGATGTTATCCACCTGAGGAGAATAAACATTTAGCTCAGACGGTCTTCAGATGGATCATATCTGTGGTAATGACGTCACACACAACAATTGGATCTAAAGTGTCAATCTAAATGATCCCACCTTGCAGCTGAAATGTTTGAACTGGATCTCTAGAAAATGACTTGCTGCACAGCAGGAGCTGTAATGCCCACTTCAAACCACAATGTTATATTTTTCTATCTGTATATATAATGTTTAACAATCATTTTGCAAGCAAGTTGGTGGGGAGAGTTGGGATAATTATCATTGATGATGAGTGAGTTTATTACACCATAATTTCAAACTGATGTTTTCCACAATCGTTTATCTAATTAAGTAAATTCCTCTTTCTGAATATACAGTTATAATCTTTATTCTGTACGTGACAAATATTTGGGAATGGGATGAGAGTGGTGTCCTTCAGCTATGAACAAAGTGTAATATTTTGATAAGGCTGGAGCCATGGATGTCTCTTCATCTGCTAACATCTTTGATGTAAAATGTGATAATGTGGCAGACTGGAGATGTATAAAACTGTTACTCGGAGCCACTTCCTGAGAGGTGAGCCCAGAGATGAGCAGCTGCCTTCTGTAACTCTAAGCAACTTTTCTGATCCGAGTAAGGTTACAATTTCTATCAAAATCTGTTGTCCTGTCTCATGGTTATTTAAAACATGTACATTGTTAAGTGTTATTTAAAGAGTTTGTCCCGAGTGATCTCTTTTCAGCAAAAAGAATTGGAGAGAGAAACCTTCAACGTGTAAACACAGAGAGGCTGTCTTTAACAGGAGGAACAGAAAAGGGTTTGTTATAATTTAGACCAAGCATTTCAGCAAAAACACTGAAGAAATAAGCTTGTAAGGAGAAATCATATTATTTTAAAACTATAAAAATCAAACCGAAAAGGTTTATAAGGGCCTCTTGAAACTGTTAAAACTTTTTAAAAGTTTTCAAGTTTTTAAGTGTGACTGTCTGGATGAATTGTAAAGTGCCTTGAGATGACATGTGTTGTGAATCGGCGCTATATAAATAAACTGAATTAAATTTAATTGAATCGCAGCTTCATATTAAGACTTTTGATTTTCTTTTTTCCTTCCAATTTTGAGCTTAAATAAACTTCAGAATGTTTGTTTTTATGGAAACTGTGCTGATTTACCTGCTTGCTTGTCTTTTCTTTAAAATAGCACCTTTATGTGCCCACTATAATCACAAGCATTTCCAAATATATAATAAATTCTTTATTCAAGAGTGCAGAAAGGCTCAGTTGTGCTTGATGCACTTATGCACGTTCTGCACCAAAACAATGCGTCTGCAGCTGTCATACTTTAGGGAACTTTTCTGCTTGTATTTTATTCTCTGGCCAACTCCTGGTGTGTACAGCTTACAACACCACACGGCATGTAGAGGTAGAAACCACAGCTATTTCCAACATTTTTAAAACCTCATTTTAGAGTGATGGTAACCACAAAAAATAAAAAATTCCATCCCTGAACAGAGTGGGAGGATTGCGGTTTCGGTTACCAAGCATTTCAAATTCAGCCACGGATCTCATTCCAAAGTATGGACTTCCGTTGCCAATCAAAATAACTGTTATTTCTTTGTAAGTATCAATATTCTTTTAGGCACTTTGTATTAACTTGTGTATGAAAGGTACTAGGGATGCACGATATAATCANATATCGGCCAAAATCCCAATATCGTGCATCCCTAAAAGGTACCATAGAAATAAACTAGCCTTGCCTTTAAGAAACACACAGCATTAACTCATAGTGTAAGTAGGAAAAACTTACCTTGTTTTTCTTTGAAAACAGCCTGTAGTAGAAACTGGTATCCTGTTCTTCATTATTGTTGCCGAAGTCCTGCAAAAGATTTCATGTTACATTTTCACCCCCTAAGGTGCCTCCAAACTATCAATGAGGATGACGGAGTGTTTTTCTGCTAAACCAAAACAACCGAGATCCCACTTAAGTGATGTTTGCAGGTTTTCCTGCAACTTCAATTCAGGACGTTGGAGGAAAGGGAGTGTTGGCCCAGTGGGTTAGAGCAGTGAGCTGGTGCTCTGAGAAGGTTGCTAGTACCCACAGCCGGTACTCTGGGTCCCTGAGCAAGACCCCACAGTGGCAGCCCACTGCTTCCCAATGGGATGGGTTAAATGCAGAGGGTTAATTTCTCCAATTAAGTTAAATTTCTATTTTTTCTATTTTCTATCTCATTAAGCAAGAATTTATTTACAGGAGCTCATAACCCAATTGGTAGAGAAAATAAAGCCAAGAGAGTCTCAGCTCTTACTTTAAACTCATGTCCAAACTGTTTTTTTTTTCTTTTTTTACATTTGTAGTGAGAGAAAACTATATTTAATGGAAATCAATCTGATTCAGTTTACCAATAATTACTCAGTTAAAGGATAAAATGTTGAACAGTGAAGTAATCTATCCCAACTTTACAGACAAATCTGGAGATTTAGGTATTTTTTTTCCAGGTTGGTTTAGGATTCTCACTAAATAAATGACTTGATTAGGGAGGTGGACTAATGAGAGATACATTTTATACAAATTTATTAAATTAAGGCCAATATTCTTTGTGGTTCTTATACTGGTTTTTTTATGCTTTACCTTTAAATAAAGGTCTTCTATATTCATTCCTATTAGGTGTTAAATGTCCTTGTTCCCATCTTTTGCTTTTTTGTCCTTTTTTATCTTTACTTCTCTCTAGTCAGTTAGTTACCGTCTTAACAATTTGAAATCTGGACCATGAAAAACTCAGAAAAATCTATTTTTTTCTGTTAGATTGTAATTTAGGAAGCAGTATTAGGGCAGGGCTAGAGATTTTTTTTTCTTCCATTTCGAGAATAAAGTCGTAACATTATGAGATTAAAATTGTAATTTTTTAATTTTTTTAAGTATGAAAAGTAGGACATGTCCAGGAAAAAAAAGACGTCTGGTCACCCTACCATATCAACAGTTTGATATTTCAGTGAGTGATTGCTTGTTGCTATGATGCGTCTTTGCTCAGCATCTTCGCTCGTTGTAAACCAACCAATCAGCGCACAGCTCATCTAAATATTTATGAGCATACCATAAACGGAAGAAAACTTGTCATTTCATTTTAGGGCTTTTAACCAGGCTTGCGTTAGGACTCATAGAACAGCAAATATGCCTTTTTTCAGCCCAACCAGTGTTACAGACCCATTCAGAGACCTTAAGGACCAGCACCAGATACCCTATGGAATCATTCTATCATCCCTTTAATATAAATCCTTACCTTCAATTCTTTGACCAGGCTTCTGACGTTTTCCAAAAGAACGTCTGAACTCAGCTCAACTTCCTTACCGCAGCTGTAATGACTTAAGCAGAGCCGGCAATCTTCAGACCTGCTCTTGATCATCAAGGCGAGTAAAGCCAAAACCTCATCCATCTACAATAGTTCATGAACAAAGACACAACCCAGCTTAATGATAGCTTTCCCCCGCCCTACATGTACCTCCATAATGTTAAAACCAAACCAACAGCACTCACAGTCGGAGTGAGGGGGTTGTGCGCTTCCTCGTTTCCCCCGTGCTTTCTGGTGCCCTTTTCTTCCTGGTCCTCCTCGTCTTCCTGTTCATCGGGGTCATGAGGGAGGCAAAAGTCCTGCTTCTTGCTCCAGGACTCGTCACTGCAAGTGTCAGCCATGACTAAAATGATGGTTTTGCCAGGCAGCAGGGGCACGTTGTAGGAGCAGGAGATCTGAACGGCCGTCTCCAGGGCTTTACGGTAGCGGTCCAACAGGTCGACGCTGTACAGCCTCTGACTTAAAGCACAGATCAAAAGGTCCGTTTATTTTAACTAGACCTGCTTTAATGAGACTATAATATGCAAGTGTAAGATTTTTTCAATTCTGCATAAAAAGCATAGCTTCCTATAAGATCAAATTTGGGAACACAATCAAATAACTTCTGCAGAGTTCTTTGTTTTTACCTGGCCTTTAGAAGCTGGGCCTTCTTGTTTTTATACAGCCGGTAGATAAACGGCACACCAAGTGTCAGTTTCAGTCCCCTCTTCTTACACGTCTGCCAGTCATGGCTCTTGCTGCGCCTGCTTTTGGGAATCTTCTTCAGGATGCTCACCAGGATTTCTTTGGTTGATGGGATCGCTTTCTCAGACGCAGAGGCTAAAAAAAATGAGATAACAAAATAAAAAAATCCTCATCCAGCACCAGAAACTCAGAGACTGATACTTTTTAAAGCTACAGTATCCTTTCCACCTTTAATGATGCATATTTTCTGTGCAACTGAGCTGAAAAATTAACATTTATAAGAGGGATAAAAAATAAAACCTATCAATAAGCTGGTGCATGCATTTAAACTACTTTAAATATATCCCAAATATTAAGTCTTCTTTAGTGGACGTTTATTGTCACTGTCTCCCTTATTAACTATAAAATTAATACAATTTGTGTCCTTTTAGGTGACGCTGTTAATGGTCTGTTATATTGAGACATTTAGAGCCAGCATCCTGCATAATTAGAGCTCCTCTTGCTCCTACATACCTTTTAAAAAATGTAAAGCTATGGTGCCTTTTAATGGGCTGCTAAATGGAAAAGTGCGTAATTCTGCTTCCTTGCAGCAAGAAGGTTCACGGTTTGACTCTGGGTCTTTCTACATGGAGTTTGCATGTTCTCCCTGTGCACGCGTGGGTTCTCTCCGGGTACTCCGGCTTTCACAGTCCAAAAACATGACTGTTAGGTTAATTGGCTCCTAAAATCTCCTTTGCTGTGAGTGTGTGTGTGAATGGTTATTTATTCTGCTTGTCTCAGTGCTGCTTGTGATGGACTGGCGACCTGTCCAAGGTGTAACCCGCCTCTCGCCCACAGACAGCTGGAGATGGGCACCAGAACCCCTCGCAACTGCGCTTACGATAAGCCTGACGGAAAATGGATGGATGGATGGATGGATGGATGGATGGATGGATGGATGGATGGATGGATGGATGGATGGATGGATGGATGGATGGATG